GACAACCTCTCGTCAATATGCGTTTTTCGCATTGCATTGCTGCAAAAAACGCATAAAAAGTGCGAAAAATAAGCCAGGCGGCCCAAAGTTTGGCTGGAGAAGCAAATTTCATCAAAAGAGCACAAGTTTTAAGTGAGGGAGCAAATTTAGCCAATTGGGCATTAGAATTTAGCCAGTTGGGCATTAGAATTAAACGGATATTGGGAAATTGCATTTAGCAGCAAATAAATCTTAAAACTATCGTAACTGGACAGAGAACTTGTGAGAATAGATATCTGCGCCATCAGGGACGAGGAACAACAATCTTGGAAGAAGCTTTCTCTGCTATGAAATCTAGTTCTCTGGAATGCAGTGTTTGCCTGTGTGTGTGTGGGGTGTGTACGGTGTGTGTGTGTGTGTGTGTGTATACGGCGTGCGTGTACGGTGTGTATGTGCGATTTGCGATGTGTGTGTATGTGTGTATGCGGTGTGTACGATGTGTGTGTACGCGGTGTGAGTGTATGGTGAATTAGAGTTCAGCTGCGAATTGCTTTGAGAAATAAAATTTATTAGTTGTGTTTTCAGAGGTATGGATATATTGTGCGAAGCGCTGGAGCACTTTTCGACGGTTGAGGAGGTTACTGAGCCGACGCTTTGTGCGTTGCGACACTGCACCGCCCGACATCCTTTGGCATCGCAAGCGCAAAGTGATATTCGCCTGTCGCAGACCCTACCAGTGATCTTAGAACTGATCGCCTCCATGCGAGCACCAGTTGTCAAGGCAGCTCTGGGACTTGTCAGGAATCTTGCGCTTCTCCCCGCCAACTTGCATCCCCTAACACATGTGAGCATTTAATTAAAGTTTGACGAATCATAAGGGCACGGCGGCAATAACGGCAGCAATAATAATGATAATAATAATAACAGTAATAATAGTGATAATAACAATATTAATAATAATAATATCAACAACAACAACAATAATAATAATGGTAATGACAGCAGCAGCAACAGCAACAGCAACAGCAACAGCAGCAACAACAACAACAACAACAACAACAACAACAACAACAACAACAACAACAATAATAATAATAATAACAGCGGCAATAATAATAATGCTGAAATTAATAATGGCGATAATATGGTAATTACAATAACAGTATTAGCAGTAATGGTAATAGCAGTGATAGTATTATTGTTAATATTGTTAATAATAAGTGTAGTAATAATAATGTGAAAATATAACGTAATAATGATAACGGTAATTACGTTGTAATAGGATAACAATAATAATTATGTGGATAAGAGCAGTTTCGCTAATAACGATAGTAGTGATAATAGTGATAGAAAATTCTGTATATAAAAATAATGCCAGGTGTGATAGAACTGTGGTTATCTGAATATTTGCGGAACGTGAAACAAAAAACATCTTGTTTTCTTATGGTTGAAGAAAAGATTGAAGCAGATTTGTGCTGGTAAATTGGTACTAGCATATGCTAGGGATTTGATTTGCCATCAGCTTATTTCTTAGCAGCCATCGAAATGTGTGGGCCATCGGTAATCTTGCCTACAGTTGGTTGCTAGTGGTTTATGCTACCACTGGCACATTTCTGCCTCGCATAACGAGCAAATGTGGTGGGGGAGAGCGAATAGAAGAGGAGGAGAAGGGGGGAAGGTGTGTTAATTTTTGTTATGTGATATTCCTTCTATTTCGTTTCGTATGGAAACAAGCTGGGATAAAGTTATGCTGCTTGCTGCAAGACTAGCAGCTTCCTCATTCCTGAATTCAAATGCGAATGAAAAATTGTCTTGGGGTTTTGTGGTTATTCTTCTAACTCGCTTGATTTTAGGAGTTGTTAGGGGAGGAGAAAATTGAAGAAAATCTGAAATTGTCGCTATGACGGTTGGTGGTTCGTTACATTCTGCAGGCATTACTGTATTTTTGCTCTAACTGCAGAATTTCTTGTTTTTATATTATTGCGTTTTTTTATGGTTTCAGGAAACGACTGCGAAGGGTGAGTCAGTGGTCACTCTGGCGATGGACGTGCTGGGACGAGCGGGCGTTCAGCTGCGGCAGGATCCAGATGCACTGGCGGATGGCGTAGCAATGCGAGAATTGGTTGAGGGTGCTGTGTCGGCATTGCATCAGTTAGGAAACGAT